TCCTGAATTAATCAATTGAATTTAAAGTTTAATTTAAAATACAATAATACACAGAGCAAAGTAATATTTATAAACGAAAAAATAATAGCAACTAGAAACAAACTGCCGCCAGAATCAATAATATGAAGGTTAGTACCTTATGACCATTAATTAAAAATCTTAAAATTCTAAGTCGTATATCCATAGTAGATGTATTTATAAAAATTCACCAGTTGCAATCACTTCTATCTCTACTTTCGCATTCTAGTACCGAAGTAAAACTAATAAATTCAAACCTTTGGAAGCGCCGCAACCTGATAAGCTGATCTAGCTGGAAAAGGCTCAGCAAAATCTATGGATATATGAAAAATGACCCACTCACAATTTCTATAAACTTCATTAATTAATGCAAAGTCTCCAATATCTGTCATCAATACGGTAGCTTTCACAACATCAGTATGTTTACACCCGGCAGATTTAAGAATTTCTCCTATGTTTTTTAGAGCTTGATGGGTCTGATCTACGACGTTTGGCGATACCAGTTCGGCCGTTTTGGGATCAAGACCAAGCTGGCCAGAAAGATATAAAGTTCCATTTACTGCTACCGCTTGGCTACGTTTATATCTAAAGCATAATAATGACTACCTATACGGCCCGATCGCTTTTGGAGCATTTGAGGTAGTAATTACCTTCTTAACTAGCCGCGACATCGACGTCCTTGAAGATGACAAAAATTGTAATGTGCAACCATACTAAACAAACAATAAAATGCAAAATAATAAAAATTTGTAAAAATTAAAACTTTTATATTGTTATTTGCAAGCTATTATTTTTTATTAAATATATTTTTAATCAAAGGTATCAGTTTTTACAGAGAGACTAATCTAAGAACAATTTTATAATTCTTACTATATTTTATTTAGATTTACCTAATTTTAGCCTTACATTTAACCTCTTTGCTGGATACAATGCAACCTTACTGTGTATCGGCTATGATCGCCTACAATTATCCCCAAAAGAACTTAACATTAAAGTCCTCTACTAATTACGCTGTTTACACTACGCTGAGTGAATCTATTACTAAGTGCCCTATTAGGTATTCATTGAATCTAACAATTCGGGTCTATTCAGAATTCTAAAAGGATACACACAAATCTATTCTGGAGTTGAAACTTTCATTGCTTTCCTGATATAAGGCATTTTGGCTAATTATTTACAGATTTTACTCAACCTAAATAGCTCTTGGTTTTAATTTTATCAACTTCTTTACAAAATCTGATACTTTATCAACTGGTAGAATTAATTTTTATATTTAAACGGGTTTGAAAGTAAGAATATTCCAAACTTGCGGCACAAAATAAGCATTCTATCTTCTTCATTTTATTTACCGACAGTGACATGCAATAATAGGCTGTCTGTAATTGTTTGTGCTATCAAATTGCGTGAACTCGATTCGACTATGATTATTAAAGGTATTCAGATATATCCTACCTATTGTTAAAGGAGACTTTATTTTGAATGAAAGTGCTTTAAGAAGATATTCTTAGGTTAGTCATATCAGAAGACGACGACTGCATCTCGTATAACTGCAGCCATTTGTCTTTAATACGACGTTCAGGTTGACGAATTTCACGAGCCATCCTCCCTCCATCCGTTTGGAAGTAGACTAAGTTTTCGTCAATAACATATTGGACATCATCAGAGCAGGAACTTATTTTTGTAAAAGTCTCAGGTCATCGCTTGGTCAAAAAGACCATCTGGCTCTTTCTTACTTCTTATGTATGCTCATAACTAAAAATAAAAATGGATGGCCATGGCTAGATGTAGTATGATTTGTCTAATAATTTTTCATATTGGTCATACTAATTTTGTTCGAGTGTGTGTGTGCGTGTGCGTGTGCTAACGTCTTTAATTTCAGCGATCCTAAATTAACAAAGTTTAATGTCAGCTTCTAGTGATCAAGCCTTAAGCCCAGAAAAATGCACTGACAGAGACTGCGTAAGTCCGTAAGCACCGTGATTGAGATAATGAGATTTAAGCTTGTAAGCGACTAAGTCAGATTGCGAAACAACCTCTCCTAACATCTCTGTCTAGAGTCATTATGGTTTAACAACGTAATAAAAGGTCTGAAATGGGCTGCGCAATCTCGCACATCTTTGGTTAACGCCTGTGAGTGAAGTTAGAAGCATCACTGAGCGAACTAGTTGAGTCGCCTTTATTTAAATGGCAGCTGAGCACCCTCTCTCTATTTTAATCT